AGCGCGCATGTCTATCACCATTTTCCTTCTTCTTTATAGGGAAGATATTTGTTTACAAACATTTTATTTATGTTAAAGTCTCTGGTGGACAATCAAACATAGTTTAAGACTACGCTGGCTTAGGATTTAACGAAAGCAACTAAGAAAGTTATAATTCGCGACCCAACGTTTCAATCCTAGGTTAGTGCCTTCATCAGGGTTGAACTAAAGTTGTTACGCGAGTCCCTTTTACATGCTGACTGATAACGGCCTTTTGTTCTGACAAGGTGTAAATAGACGCCAGGTAAAAGACCGGCATCGTCACGGTAAGGAGCGAGAGCAGAGTCAATGTGCCAAGCTTCCAGACAAAGGCACTGATGATAACGCCGGTTAGTGGTACCGATTGTCAGTGGTTAGTTTGGCGAGCGTTTTCCGACATAGCGGAGTTTCTTTTTTGCAAAGGAAAACCGCTTTTTGGTGCTCTTTAGAGCGTCTACCAAATTAACTCCGCCCAATTAACTCTGGCGATTGCAGCTTGCAATGTGTCTTAATGTAAAGAAAGATTTTACGGATTATGCGCCAGGAAGAGCTATCTGCTTTGTGTACTTGGATGAAGAACTTACAGACAAATGTGGCCGCGACAGATAATTTTTCTGAGTGTTTTAAGACGTAATTCAGACAAATTACGTCTCCGGATGGCTGTAAGTGTCAGTAGAAAGTCGGGCAAGGTAATTCGTGAAGACGAACTATCTGCTTTTGTACATCACGAGTAACGAACTGGGGCTTGGTGCGTCTGACTGTTCATTCCGCAGAAGCCGCGATAATCCGCCTGGACAGATCATGCTACTCTCATGATGACAATTAGTCGCAATTAGCCTTTCTCGAGGCTTTCTACATCAAGAACCTAGCTTTAATGAGGAGATCAAAGCCTCTAGAGAGTTACATCTTTTCTCTGATATGTTTGATTACATCATGTTATGTCATTGCTTGTGTATACGCCTAATTAGCCTTGATATATAAGCTTTCGAGGGGTCTTTCGACTTGTTTTAAACTATATGGCTATGACTCTGAAATAGAGCCGAAATAATGCAAAAACCTTTCTGCATTGTAATAAACCAAAACTTGGTTTTCAATGATGATAACAATCCTCGGACTAGTCTTGTTTTCGTTTATATTCAAAACTATCTGATGGTGCTGGATCTCTCTATATGACCACCGTAGCCAGTTCTGGAAGCTGAAACATCGAGCGATAACCCGCTTTCGAATTCTGACGATGGACTAATGCTCGCACATCAGCATTTCCAATTTCGTTCAGGAGAAACTTTACTCTTGTCAAGCTCAAATTGATAGTCAGGTTAGTGTTTCACTTGCTAGGCTGATGCCAAGCATAACGAATAATTTGTTTAGAAACAAAGAACTGGTCACGTCAAAATACGAACGGTAGAGCGAATACGTTTTGGTGTTGAGCTATCTCTGTAAAATTGCTTCGTAGACCTGTTCAAAGATGAGAGCTTGGGGTGTATCTATGTCTTGGAAAAAACGTTCCATTGAAAATAGTGGTGATGTCCCTGATCAACCTACCACTGAGTTTGTATGAATTTAAAATTCAATCGAAAATGTCCCCATTTTTCCTTTGAGAAGATGGACTAAATAAAAAACCAAAATCGATCAGAAGGGCTTAAGCTTGTTCGCCAGAAAAAAGAGAAACGAGGTATTCGGCACGGGACCACGGCATTTGCCGGCAATTTTCAGTTGATGGTTCACATTGTCGGGAAACTTTCGCAAGAAATGTTTCATACCACATGCACTCTCAAAGTTCAGGAATTTGGGTCGAATGGAAACCGCCCCATTTTTAAGCGCAACGCATTCAAGGTACACGCATGCGCGGTTTCTCTTTGTTAAGCCAATTTGCGACATTTTGCAAGACGGCACAAAGAAAAATCACAGTCTGAGGAAAATTCCCACCAAAGATACTTAAACCAAATGTGATTCAATTTGAGGTTACCACTTTAAAGATTTCGCGCTAAACGCCACTCACACACTTTTGAATCACGGGAGTTCCCACAAGGGAGCGGAGCGACCGCTCGTTCTTCATCTATGGCGGCACGATTAAAGGTAATTATTGGTCACGTTCTTTTAAATTTCTCCAGTCAGGCGAACATGCCCCAGTGGGGCAAGTTCGCCGCCAAATATTAAATCTGAATCTGAAACTCAGCTAGCCTCATTTCCAAGCGCTTGATCCTTCTAAACAGGTTCCTCTCAATATATGTCGACATTTTTAATATGGCCACGACTACTGTGTTCCCTGCTCAAGTTATCCTTGCCTGAAAGCGGCAATGAATAAGTTAAAAGACAACTTCAACTTCTTTATTTTCTTTTCCATCATTTAAATTTATTACTATTTGTTACGATTCTTATTCGGCCTAAAAGATAGACACTGTAACAACTTCAGTGAGAAGATCCGGCATTCCGAACGCCAATTGGGAAATTTTTTGGGTGCTCGTAAACACTCGCACAACACTTGCATTGGACGGTACATTCCGGAGGCCGACGGGGAAATTTTTTGGGTGCTCGTAGACACTCGCACAACACTTGCATTGGACAGTAAATATCGGAAAAAATCGGTTCAGCCACATTCCATTACAAGGCACTTCTACACGCGTCGTTCGACGTTGATAAGAGTAATTTTGGCGGCGAAAATTGCTATTCTGCACCCTTTCAATCCTTGTGTTTGTATTTCTGTTTTGCGCACCTGGGTAATATGTAAGCCCTTTTTACGGCGCTTGGAGCTATATTTCGCCGAATCTTGTGGTGTCAGAATCTTGTGGTTAAAGATATAGCGAGCTTAAGAGGCACGATGCTTCTGCTACAGTCTAAAGATTGGATTCTTGAGTTAGTTGTAAATCCTTTAGCATCATGTATTCGTTTCTCCTTGTTCTTGTAGAATGGCCGTAAGTTTGGCCAAGTTATGATCTATTGCCTTGTCCAAAAAGTCGAGCCAGGTGGAGTCCGACACGAGCGTAAAATGGGAGTTCCTGCAAAACAAGGGCGGAGTATAATTATAAAAAAAGACTGAAATGCTTTAATATAAAAGGTTTTTTGAAAACAAAAACAACAGCGAGCGTTGGCGCGTAAATAAATCCATTGAAATATCATTTTTTCGCGTCGATAAACATACCTTGCTTTATTCAGCATCTCTTTTAGCTGATGAGCTAGCTTGGACGCCTACAGTGCATTAAAAAGTGAACAGCGTAAGTAACTCGACAGAGATTTACAAACACCTCAATAATATTAGAAGCTACACAGGAAGCAAAATGGACTCACAGACTCAGAAACATTTTGATGGTTCATCGGACAGTAAAGACTCATAACTACATCGTCAACACTGCAAAGATGAGAGAAAATGCATTATCACTGAAAAACCGTACAGTTGAGCTTAATACCATTAATACACCAGGCATGAATGGCCGCCTTCCCAACGTAAAACGTTGAGGATCTCACTGCTAGTGTGTACGGCGAAAATGTTGTGTTACATTTCAAGAAGCCATCTAGACGGGTAGGCAACAGCTTCAGAATGTGTCAGAAATTTTAACAGTGTTTGAACTGATGGAAATCAGATGGCAAATAATTTTCTTAATATATGAATAGCAGAGTAAAGATGCAAGACAAAAGATTGCTTTGACAAAATTTGAGGAATGTGGCTGTGCTAGAAAGCGCCCAGTCGTGTTGTTAATTTTACAAACATTTGTCTTTAATTTTTTTCTCCGCGAACTTCTAAGCCGAGTTCGCGCCACTAGCCCTCGCGGAAAAAAATCGAAGACAAATGTATGGAAAATTAAAAACGCGACAGGAAGCTACACCACTTCATCAATGTCAATGTAATTCTTTGTCTAGTATCTTAACTTTGCTATTCATAAATTTTACAGAATTCGACTATAAAGAAAATTATTTGCAATCGAACTCTGTAATTTCTGAGCGCGTTGCCTACCCATCAACAAGGCCTCCAGTTTCTTTGACAACCCATATCAAGCGCGCGAGATAAGTGTGTTTCGTTATTCTCGAAGACGACTTAGCTTGCATTTCAAACTGCAGGTAAGTAAAAGCCTCGATATCAGAATGCACACTTTCTTGTTTAGTTCATGAAAGCGTGATATCCATTTTACTTTTCTTTCAGCGCATCTCGTTTCTGACTAACAAATAATTCATTCTTGTCACATGGCATTCTCACCTTGGGCTCGTTCTGCAGACTTCGTCTGCCATTTGATCTAGTTGCTGGATATTTTCTACTGATGTCACTTGACCAGAAGTTCGGATTGCACCGGAAATTTTCTTCACACACGATCGACATGCCTGAAAATAAACGTCAGCAATTCTGAAGCAAGCAACATTTTACGGACAAGGACTAGAAGGATAGTAGAAAAGGCAAATGAGCAAAGGCAGGAGAGAATGAACAAGAGAACAAACGAAGGAACGGGAAATAAACGATCTGATCTAAATGAACGAAGGGACATAATAATTATTAATAAATGGGTCAATATATTACGAAAGTGGTTCTGAATATATATACCAGCAAAAATGCAGAATAAAACTGATCGACTGATCAATCAATCAATCAATCAAGCAAGCAAGCAAGCGAGCGATCGATCGATCGATCAATCAATCAATCAGTCAGATCAATTAATTGATCAGACAGTCCATCCTTCTGTCTGTTCATCCGTCCATCTGTTTGTCCGTCTGTCCACCTGTCTGGTAAGTCTATCCTTGGGTTTGTTGGTTGGTTGGTTCATCAGAAGAATCTCAACCTTCAGCACTCACTTTCACCAGTCCTACACAGGGCGCGACTAACAGTTTGTCTTCACTTGACCAGCCCTGTTTACTTGACTCTCTATCATCATCATCATTATCACCTTGACATCCATTACATTTTTGTGCCTGCAATGACCAAGAAGACTAACTCTACCACTGGAAATTATTCAACAAAGTTCTTGTTCAATCCTTTAAATGTTACATTGATTTCCCTACCATTCAACCAAGCAAAATCTAAAGTAAGATTAAGATGGCATATGCCTTCTGTGAAATAATAAAATTCCATCATATGCAAAGAATCCAACTGTGACACTTCCTAGCCACATGCCATTCCATTCACCCTTCAAGCAGTGCTCTAAGAAAAACTAGAGAGCTCACATTCAACATGTACTGTGCTTAAACCAACTCTACCCAGAATCTGAATTAGCCGACCATGTTGTTATAGCAGTCCTGCAGTTAGCGATCAGATTAATTTTTAATATCTAACACTTTATTCTCCCCTGGTATCATTTTGAGATTTTTTACCCCTTAATGGTGTTTGCTTCTATGGTAAATCGTGGAAGATACAGGTGGTAAAAATGGGAGTGATTTTTACTATGTATTTATTGGAGCGGTCTGGGTTCAAGCCCTGGCTGGGCACATTGTGTTGTGTTCTTGGGCAAGACACTTTACTCTCACAGTGCCTCTCTCCACCTAGGTGTATAAATAGGTACCAGCGAGCTTAATACTGGGGGTAACCCTGTGATGGACCAGCGTCCCATGCGTGCTACCAAAACTGGGATAAGCTCTGGCCTGATTGGCCACTTAGCTCGTATGCAGCCTTTTTATTAAACTGAAGGCTTAAAGAACAAAGACCAAGGTGTGCTTACCTCATCAAGCTCAGTGAGTGCATCTTTGATCAGCTCTGAGCTAGACTGTAACACTGCTAACACTGCTTGTGTATTATCTAGAATTAATAATCATATGGTTAACCCATCTTCAACCAAAAGTCATCCCTGTTTTCCCTGATGCCATGTCTTGAAACAGGTTCATAACAGGTGGGGGGTGGGGGGAAGGACACTGAGAGAAATCTTTTGGCAAATTGTCACCAAGAAATTTGCAAGGTTATGGTTTTCTCAGTGAAAATGAATGAAAATTATTGTGACAAAATCTGTGAATGGAAGAAGGGAGGTTGGAGGTGTTATTGTGTTTGCTGTGTTCTAAACATTTTCAAACAAAGGAATTTCTCTGAAACGTCCCAAAACCAAACGTTGTTCTCGGTTTCTGTTTCGGCAATTTTGGCTTGCCTTCATCAGGAATTGAGAAAAATATAAGGTCAAATGATGGAATGATGTTTTTTTTTTTGTTCTCTTTAACAAGTTCTCAGATTGTTTTGAAATATTTCATTTCTTTGTGGTAAGAGGACGCTAGCCATATACCCTTACCTTTTGGAAGATGCTGGAAACTGTCACAGTGTTCCCACAAAGTTCCTGTTGACTGCGTCTTCGCATTTGCAACACTACAACAAAATGAGATAATTTAAAATATTGAAAATAAATCGCAAAAATTTATCAATCAATATTCCTCCTGACAAAGGAGAAATATATTTCTTTCTTCAAATAGAGAGCTCAATATCCTGAATCTAACTCAAATCAATCCAAAAGTCAAAATACCAGTCAGACAAAGCAGAATGTAATGTGGAAAGTGAACTAATCAACATGACATGAGAATGGGACAAAGAAAAAATCTGAGTCCCCGACAGGAATCAAACCCATGACCTCCCAAACACAGGGTGGGCGCTCTATCCACTGAGCTACGAGAACTCATGGAGAGCAAGGTCATTTAACTGAGTTCATATGTGAGAGGCATCCTGCATACTGCTAGGATCAGCACTGTCGAAGTCATTGTGAGTGTGATAAATGAATAAGATGGCGAATTTTAAGCTCGGTAATGAAATGTGAAAAGTGAACTAAACAACATAACACGACCGTGGGACAAAGAAAAAATCTGAGTCCCCTACATAAGATAATAAGATACATAACACATAAGATAAAACCAATAATAAATTATTAGTCTCTTTATTGTTTCTACCCACTCACAAAAGCAAAAACATTGCAAGGCATGCTAGTCTTTTATACCTGCCAACCCTTGTTAAGTCATAGACCTGAGATCTCTATCCTGGGAGCCTCAGGTTTTCCAAAGAAGAAACAACCATATCCAAATATGTCCAAAGATTTTCAAGAATGTTCCAATGATTTTTTCAGATGTTTTACACATTTCCTGGACTCAGCATCAGGATGTTTTTCTTCAAACATTATGCTGTGCCAGGGAAAGTGTATCATCATTTACATGGACTTTTCCTTGGTTTGAGTTTACATAATTTTTTTCAAACATGTGTCAGTAAGGCTTTTATTAATAGCTCAACTATTCTGCTAGGCTTGATAAATTGCAGGAGTGAGAGTTGGCAGGCACACCATTCTACAGTTAGTTCTTCATCACAGCCTTGAGCAAAATTTTCCTGGCATGTCCAGCCTTATCATTGAGTCAATAACATCCTGTATTATCCTAAATAGCAGAACACCTTCTTCACCTTGAACAGCCTTCCTTGATAAATGAAGAGGCAAGAACTTGGCAGTCATCAACCACAGTGAGAACTGATTCTTGAAGTTTCTTGTGAAGATTTTTACCTAAACACAACAATCACTACATTTCAAGCCATCATAACAGTTGCTGTCAGTTATCGTCCCTAAAATATCCATACCCTTGTCATGAAAGGTTCTCTGAGAACTTATAATCTTGCAAGGGAGGCCAATGCTTCAAAGGTCTGTTGCAAAATAGCCGAATCAAGCAAAATCTTCTGCAATTTTGTGTAACCTGAATATGTTATTAATAGGCCTGATTATTACTGCAGTAACATGCTTCTTCACATCGGATGTAATTTTGCTACAGTATATACATGTTGTTGCAACTTTTGAACTTCACGAGAGGACACCACATCTTCAACTTGCCTTGTGACAGAGGCAAAGAACGAAATATTGTCAACATGGCTATTACTGACGTCTCAAATCCGGTCAGCAGACACTGCAATTCCTGCAAAAAGAAAAAGAAGGAGAATGGTAAGTAGTCGCATGCAAAACAATGTCTCTCTTTGCTCAATCAAGTTCTATATTTCCCACTTTATAGACATCTGAGGCTGAACCTGAAAAATTTCATGCTTATGGACGTGTACATGTAGCTGACTGTTGAGATACAGGTTCCTTAAGGTTCTGGTAAGGAAATTAGGCATTGTCCATCATCGGAATTTCAAACCTTTTGATGTCATAATTTTGGAAGGTCCACATGTTGCTGTTGGAATTTCTGGATGATTCATGTCATTTGACATCATTTCATCTACCTTCCTGTCTGCCCTTTATTGCTGTGTTTTTGTTGGAATTTTACCCTAACAGGGCCACTATAATCAAAGAGACACTATAATTTGTGATCCCATCTCTCTAGAGCTACACATGTACATCAAAGGACCCTTAAGCAAGGGAATGAGAAGAGTTACTCCGGCACAAAAATGTCTTTCTCTCTCTCAGGCTTAAAACTTACCAAGTGTGATTTAAATGCATGAAGTTACCATGAAAACTCAATAATTCATTGTTTGAGTCAAGTTACATAGCAGGTAAGAAACATTCACCAGAATTCACTGTGCTCATCAAAAAAATAGTTTAACTTACATCCACAGATGGAGCTGGAGGCTTAGAAAAGGAGACTGTTAGTTTGGTAGCTTCTTTAGAAACTGCCCTGAATGTCATCCCTAAAGGAAATTGCAAGACTTATTCAATTACCAGTAACTTAAAGGCTATGAATTTACAACAAAAATTTATGCAAGAGTGTTTAAAATTACTTCAGATTCACTACGCAAAAAAGTTTTTTCGTAAACCCTGTTGAAAGAGAGGTCTCTTTGAGATATTCCAGCTAAATCTATTTATAATTCTCACACTTTCAGGCTTTGCGCCAATTGTTTTAACACTTACATGTAGCATTTTTCTACTTATTATAAATTCTACTTCCAACATTTTATACATTAATCGGCTGAAGATGACATGAGAATCCATCAAAACATGTCTTTGAAGCTTAAAAGTTTTGTTGTTTTCTTTAAATTCCAGCTAAAGTATAATGAGTTAAGCCATAGCGAGGAAAGGAAAATAGTGGCCTCACTTGACAGGGCTGTCTTAAGGGCCATACCCCCCAACCTGACACTTCTAATGGCTGAGTATGCTTAATGACCTCTTGATTTTATTAGTAAAATTGCCTGTTGTTGATACAGTTTACTAATAAAGTAGCAAGTTTGTTATGGGTGTAAAGATCAAAGCAACAGCAGGTGACTCAAAACTTAATGACAGTCCTAGTTGACATGTGATGGCAGCAATAAATGACAACAAGTACTGTGATGATAATAACAATGATGATAACGATGATGATGATGATGATGATAATGATGATGACAAGGACAAAGATGATAATGATGAACCCTGCCACCACCATGAACAATATAATATTCAACAAAATTTAAGAATTTATGAGATCAAACATCCACAAATATGGTCAAATATACTACCTAATTTCATCCAAAAATCCTCCAAAGAAAAACTCAACTCCAAGTCCTCCATCACTTGTCCCAAGCTTCCCTCTGTGTTAGTGTACAAAAACAAAACTTAAGTTTCTTTGGAGGTCTGCCTCCGGACCTTTTCACAACTATTACATGCTAAGCTGATGTCAATCGATGATACTCCTGCAAGTATTGATAACGATGCGATTAGCTAAAAAAACATTAGCGAACCTTTGATTTTCTCTGCACACAGATCAAGAGTGTCTATGAGAGACTGCAAAACTTCCTCTGTACTGGTAGCCGCCATCTTGGAACTTCGATGACTGCCGGTCAAACGCGAACTTCAACGAAGACTTCCGACAATATGCCGAGAATGTTGCCACGTGACTTTACTTTTAAAACATGGCCGCCGCGTTCTCACGATAAATATTCATGATTTTACTTTGAAGGCTAAGGGTGACTGAGAAATTATCGAAGCATCTCTTGCACTTAATAGTAACTATTGATTACAGTTGAGATGTAGGAAAGTGTTGAAGTCGATGGCGATGACCAGTTGGCAATCATTTAGGTTTCAAGGTTTTGATCGACGATGTTGAACGTTACTCATCATCTTAGGAAGAAGGTAAAGCCGTAATTTAATTTAATCTCGATCGAAGAAATATAGCTTAAGAGTTTTTAAGATCTCGAGAAAGAGTTTTGTTTGCTATGTGAGCTTTTACGCATGCCTCACTTGTAACAGATACAGGTATACTGTTACGAATAGGTAAAGCGAAACCTCAAATTGTTGTCTGAGTAATTAAATGAAATAAGCTTATCCTCCTCAGCTAATAACCGGCCGGTAATGGTCGATCCACAATATTTTCAGATGCAGTTATGACTTCCTCGGTTGTACAAATACTATTTACTTCAAAGCCATCTAAAAACATTCCTTCGTTGTTGATGATTTAATCTTATGTTCCTTCCATCTCAGCTCTTTTTAGGAGATCTAGATGAAACCCAAGCTGACAAGTCAAGCTCGAAAACTAACGGAATGCAGACTCAAGGGTTAGCCGATGAGAACTCGCCGAAAAACAAACGAAAATCGTTGCCAACTGTTCCTTCACCAGAGGAGGAGAAGTCAATGAATCTGTCAGTTGCAAGACAAAGATCGCCGGCCGCTAATCCTACACAGGTCAAAGCCTATGGACCTTATTTTCTCGAATACACGTTAATGGCGGAATAGTAAGTGTTTGTTGTCGCTATAGTACAGTGCGTGAGTTTACGGAGTTGTGATTGATAATTTGACTACAATAGTTGTGAAATTGAAATCCCGAAGCTTGGCTCAATTGAGTCACACCTTTAATTTTGTTTAGATCAAACAGATCTCAACTTGCTGACATTTCATGGTTTTCATTTAATATCAATAATATTAAGACAGAACAAGAGGGTTAAAAGTATAGGTGTGCATTACACCAGCTGAGCAGGGTTCTTGTTTTAGTAAGAACAATACCTACTGAATGGCAGAGAATCAGGATCAGTATGATGCTGTAAACGATCTCTCAGTTTTTCTCTTTGTTGATATTTATCAAGCCAGCTGTACTGTAGCTGAATGTACAAAGCCTTGGACATCTCACACATTCCTGGGCATCTACAGTACTTAATTAATGATATCTTTTTGGTTCATGTCACTGAAACACTTCAGAACTATGCAAGGGAATCAGGGTTGTCAAAAGTAGCTGGTCAGCCTCATGATCAGACTCAGCTAACTGCTTGATTGGACTTTTTGTTTGATTCTAGCCTTGAGATAAAGATGGCAAAATCAACTACCAACTCCATCAATAACACTGCCTACTTCAAAACTGTGTGACAACCTTGGGATATTTTACATGGCCATAGTTAAACATGATGGCTTGGCAATCAAATAAGGAAGCCCGAGGATTTTGGAAATTTCATGTTGACAAAACTGCTAGCATTAGACTAAGATTGACATGCACACAGTTATGTATGAACTTGAAGTTGATACATAACTATATGAGTATGTGAAGCTAACGCTTTGAACATAAGCCCTTTGTTTGCCCTTTGCCAGCCTTTAACTGGGACAAATGACTCATGCTCAGAACATCAGTGATCACCTTCACTAACTTAATAGAACAGTTAAATTGCCTTAAGCAACTTAAAGTTGAAGGAGCCTGCTGACATAGCACAATAGAGTCTTTAGAAACTTATCACTTTACCCAGGTGGACCAGCATCACACATTTCAGTAAAAGAACAATACTCCAGTTAAACCCTGACTTGATGAGATATTGTGACACATTAGTCACAGCTTTTTTCTTTTTCTTATCATCTTATCTCAACAGTAACCAGCTTAGAAGTCAAAGACTCCCCGGTGTCTATGTTTTACCAGCTGCCAAGTCTCCTCTAAGTAAGTACCTT